CGTTCTTGCGCTATTCATATTTTGTCTACTTAACTGATCTATTAAAAGAAAATAAACAACAAATAAAAAGAAGTAAATCTGACCTTACGCGTTATCCGACTCTCTGAAATCATATATCGAGTTTATACATATATATGTATGTATTATAATACACCTTTCGATCTGACTTTTACAGTCTAGAAAGTTTTATCAACGAGTGTACTAGGCTTCGAGCGAGTGATGCCCACGTTGCTGTTTTTCTCCCTTCAAGTAGGGTTACAGAGATTTTTGAAAATTTTCATTTCCATTAACTTTATGCCATACAATTCAAAGTTCCGAAAATTCTTCGTTTGCTATCCTTTTCGGAAACGGAAGCTAATTTTGGAAATCGTTACGCGATAATGGCGTTTTTTCCGTAGCAGAAAGCAACCACGATGTGATCCGAGAGATTAGAAATCTTCACGGGGAGAGAAACGAAATGATAAACCGGCTTCCCGTCACGAAAGTAGCGATTCTCATCTCCCTTCTCCCCGTGTGTCGTAGATGCAGGAGAGCGGCAGTGTTGGAGAGTCGAAAGCGCAATTTTCCTTGGCCGTGGCAGAGCGGTCGGCACCGATGATTTTCTCCTCACAGCGGAGATTGTCTCACAGCGATTACCTAAATGATTATACGTATCCGCTGCGCACTTTCATCGCGCCACTAATTCGCCTCGAGTATTACCCGAGCGACGGTTATACTCGTAGGCGCGGAACGAGAGTTACCATCGCATCGCGGAGAAAGTCTTTTTTCCATTTCTCCGGTGAACGATTTTTGCACGACTTGTCCTCCTTCGATGAATCGTGGCAATTATCTTGCCTCTGGAACGACAGATCCTACGATGAATCGTTGTTGAAGTCCGGTTAGTCGATTCGCGTTAGTATAGACCAATCACGGTTAGATACAGCGGCATCTGAACGAAGGATCAAGAATACCATTAGAATTTTGACGGAAATTGTCATTGAAGAAAGATCAATATTTGGTTAAGTGAAAGACTGTAATCGCTAAATCTTGAAATTTTCCAACAAATTGGACAATTAAAAAATATTAAACTTTAAGTATTCTAGTTGTTAATGTCGAAGTGGTCTCCACTTCTAAGAAAACTCTACATCTGGTCTTTTTTAGTACTCTCAAGCACTGAAGCCATCGACAGCGTGTAGACAAAAGACTGCGACGAAGACACACCATAAACAGTAGACGGGCGACGTTGGCTTCGGGGTTTTCAATTATTGGGTAACACAGCTAGCGTGCGGATCTGGACCAGCCCAAATTGTATTCTTACTTATAATTACACTTCTATTTAAATATATTTTCTACCTTACAATTTATCCACGAGTTTTCTTTGTTTACATATCAAATAACCTCAACAGTTAATAACTATTATACATGGTTACAATTTTGTTAATTATCGGTAATCATTATCGATGACGACAAATTCTTTATTTTGGTACTTACTCACCGTGACACACATGATATATCGGTAAACAGTTTTTACAAGCGAGAAGATTCTAGAGATCCGCTAAGAAGATCAGTGCTGTAAACAGGGTCCAAGGTGATCAAATCACAGATGCTGTTACGGCCGTCTTGGAATCGAGTTCTAGGCGATACCAATCGATCAATCGATTACTAGAAGCTCGCTTTCACGACTGATTGGTCGAAAAATGTATCGAATGAGAGCAATAAGGAGTTGAGTGGAAATTCAAGGAGATAATTGGATAGATATAACATTCTGTAAAAGATGAAACTCATAAAGTAATAAAATAAAAATAAATGTTAGAAAAATGCATTTCTATTAATAAAGATCTATAAAGCAGAGGCGTTTCTTAAAATCCGGCAAAAAGTTCGATTTTAAAAGTGTTTGTCGATGTTACACTTGACAAAATGTCTATAACGCTTTTCTGAACATCACAAGGGCGATGTACATTTTCGTTTGTGACCGTGAACGCGATTGTTGTCCCAAATACGATAAATCGAACCATTCGATAAGAAAGGGAAAAAAGGGAAAGACGCAAACTGACGAGGTATCAGAAACGTCGCTCGATAATCGATCACCGGGAGAGACGTTTTCACTGCAACGACCCACTTTTGGCCCGTTCTATCGGCGCATGCACCAGCGCGGCACAACACTTCCCCGGAGAGAAAGTTTTGATCTCGAACGTGAAACCGCCGCGCGGGATTTTCACGTCATATCCGATCGCGCTTGTGCGCCCGCGCGCAAGAAGAATGTGAAAAGCATCGCGTACTCCGCGGAGAAAGTGGAGTAAACCGGGTCCCTGAGAGGGTCTCTCCTCTTCTAGCAGAGGAGAGAGAGAGCGAGACTCTCGTCGCGTCGCGTCGGTCCATCGATGAGACCGTAACTCCAGTTCCATTATTCGAGTTCCATTAAACGGAATCTGATGGATCTCGGTTGTTCGATCGTTTCTGCGAACGATTTAGTTTCCTCGAGTTCTTGTTACTTCCAGTCACGTCGTTACAGCGTTTAGTCGGAGGAAAGAGAGTTCGATACGGGAATAGGCGATTATTTTCACGACTTTTCTGAACTGATTGTTTGCTACGTTGAAATTGAGCGTGGAGAATTTTAAAGTTTTATCAACAATATTTGAGAATATTTAGAAATTTATTAAAACTGAATGACAATGTAAATTAAAGAGTGTAGATTGAAACAAGCCCGAGCATTTTTCATTTGAAATGAAAAGTATCTTACAATTTGAAAGATTAGGGAAAGATGTCACGATAAAGCAAGGTTTGAAGAGGCGTTTCACCTTGGAAATGTTTATACAAACTACAGAAAACAGTAACAATTTTAATCGGGAGTCGATATTTACGGAGATCCTAATCGTTACACGTTTACGACTCTATATATAATTCAAACGATTTGTTTCAAAATGTTATCGATCTTCTTTGCATTTCTATATATAGACCTGAGATCGGCTAACAGTTAAATGGTCAATACTTTCGCTAAAGAACATTTGCTACATATTACAGAGGTATACACATCATCAACATTATGTATTCGAGAATGTACGAAGGATTCAGGAAAAAACCGATACAAGTGACAAAATCGCGGAAAATTTGGTAAAATTAGATAAAAAGTATCTGAATATTTATATTAAGTTTCTGTTTAAGGGTCGACCCTGTTAATCGACTAATTTCAATTAATTTCAATTTTAATTATTCCTAAATATCAAAGAAATGCTGTCGAGTCAGCATCCAAACATCAACCCCTAAACTCAAGACACTTCGACATCGTCATACGTATCGTGCTTTTCATTCTTCCAGCTCAATTTCTATATCGCGAACGATCTCGATCGAACAGACGAGTATAACACGTGTAAATAGAAGGCACGTGTAGGGAACGATGGCAATGAACTCTGATTTCGAAATCCTGATCGACGACGCGTAATTCACGCACGTCGTCGCGTGTAACGCCGCGCCGGATGATGCGTACGGCCGAGCCGTGGCATTTCGAGAGAGTTGGCCGTGGGACACTCTCGAAAAACTTTCGAAGACGTTGAACCCTATTACCCGAGTGGTTTTCAACCCGGCTGTGTGCCGAATTCAAGTTCAGGGCCAGCCGCGGCGTTCGCCCGTTCCCTCTGAACTTTCCGTTCATTGATTTTCCGGTCGTCGATGTTCCATTGCTACCTTCTTGTTACGCAACTGGCTCCAGGGTCTTTGATCGAGCACATAGGATCTGAAACAGAATTTCGTCAGATCCACGCTTTCGATATTCCTTCGATCTTCTTTTCTTTCTCTTTAATTTAACGAATTTTTATATAGACAACAAAAATACCGACCTAACCATATACGATGTACATACGATGAAACTTTCTATTTGTGTAATTAAACACGATGTCCTTGAGTACCAGAACTATTTTGTATTGCTTCAAAAGGTTTGGAATAACATTTGTTACACCACTCACGGTCAAGTTTTAAGCACATCGATGCAAGTTCATGAAAATATTGTAATATAACTGAACTGCAATGTACTCTAACCGTCTCTTGGCTTTCAGATATTTGTATCCTACTTAAAGCGTATTGTTAACGATTTATCGGAAACAAAATACGAAACAAAAGACGAAACTTCAGAAAATATCGAAATTTCAGTACCACGATACTTCGTCGTTTCACGCACCATGCGTTTTCCCTTCTCGATCGATCTTATCTTATCGACGAAAACCATATACGAATCGCACAAGGTGCACCAACTACGGCTAACGAACCCGCCTAGGTTTCACACCGGGTATTGTCCCCCGAATCGGTACATCTTGCTACTTCGCCGAGTACATAAAAGGCGTACACCGATCTTGGGAATCGTATCGTCGCTCCAGCTGGACAGCATCTGGCTCACCCACGCGATTTCTTTCTTTCCCTGAAAATTCCTCTGTATCTTCCATCCGCTCTATACAACGTACATCTACAAGGGCACGTTTTCTTCGCAAAACAAAGGACCGTGTTTCTGAATTACGTCGGTGATCGATGAATGGAATGAAACTTGATTGGTAACATGAAGGGGAGGAAAATATAGAATTTTAATCTTTAATCATGAGTTTTAGGAAGTATTGGTTATATACAATTAACCAGAACAGGTAAAGATCCTTTATTGTAATAATTATTTCCTTATTTAATTCATATTCGAGGGAGGCACGTCTATAGTTCTGATTGAACTCTTAAAAAATACCGTTAACAAGAAAAGAAAAGAGAAGAAAAGGCCACTTATACTAAGCAAATGGTTGCTCTTGCCAGTCTTTCATTTATATTACGATCTATGTACAAAGATCATTTATTTTCGCTACATTGAATAATTTTTGCTCTCACATACTACATGCACGCACTCGTTTCTCATAATAACGGCAAGAAAGAAAAAGCAGGAGAGATAGATAACACAAGGAATTAAATACGATAAATTAAAAAGTTAAAGATCCAAAATGTATACGGTTTTGTACGAGTTTCCTATCGCAAAGTTATACGTGTATAGGTAGAAGACTGAGGATCGTGAGGTGCGAGCAGAAGGGAGGGGAAAGGACGAAGGATATGCCGGTGAAAGAGAAGTGGCACGGCGGTGTATCGGGGTCAAGTGGCACGATAGTAGGCAGCGACGAGGCCTACTTTGGCCTGAAACTAGACTGCCGCGCGAAAACACCATCGAACCGGGCTATAATGTTGTGCTCCAGCGTCAAACCGGGGGCCTTTCTAATCGTGGCCTGTATTTCGAGCCTCGTTGGATATTATCCTCGTTACCCGGCTGAGCGCTGAGCGTTACGTGTCGCCACGGCATCGTTGCCCAACAAATTTCGATCGTCCAAACAGGGCATCGAATACTTTTGTAACGGTGACGCGTAACACGAACCGTCTCGAACCTTCCATGACCCTCGATTTCAGTCATTGGACGTTACTCTCGAGGGAAAGCGGGAAGAAAGCAAGCGGATCGACGAGAGCGTGACGAAGATTCGGGTTTGGCGTGATGTAACGAAGGGAAGCGAGTTTCTTACTTTTCAACTGGTGACGGTAGGTTGCATAGAGGTTTGTTACGGTAGTTTGTTGCTACAGAAGTTGTTGTCGATCTATCAAATACATGGAAAATCGGTCTATAAATATCTTTAAATAGATTCATTGTATCGTCGCAAATTTTCTAAATAGATATAATAAATATCTTTAAATAGATTCATCGTATCGTTGTATATGTAAACTCATTGTATATGTAAGTTTTTCCATAAAGAGTAGTTGTTACACGATACATTAAATCTATGCACAAAATAGTTTCTGATTATTCAAAATTTTGAAGGATATTTTACATATTCTACGTTCAATTACCAATTCAATTCATTGCTAACATTATCCGATGTTAAAAGAACAATTACGAGAAACCCAATAAAATCAAGCTCGAGTCAAGATTGAGAAGCTCAAATACGCGATCTCGATTAGTTTTCCAATCAATTGCTCGGAAATCTTGATCTGTTCGATCGTTGGTCTTGGTCGTGACAGGCAACGAGGCCACGATGAGTGTTCCACGATGCTTTCTAACGGAGCGTAATGAGCAGAGCAGCTAGTTGCCGTGGATTTTGCGATCGACGCAATCATCGGCCAGCTATTCGTCGGTCGTAACGTTCGATCAAACTTTTGATGACCGACTAATTGAACGAGCTACGCGTGTGATTGCATCGATAAGGGAGCCTCTTGGAGTTTTAATTCGATTTAACCTGTTGCTGTATCGAAAACAGTTTGAATTATGTGCTTCTTACCAGTTCAAGATTTTATCAGAGTATTTTTAATCGCAATAAATAGAACCTTAATCGATCTTTCGCTGAAGTATAATTACTAGAGAGATTTTACGATTAATATTTCAAGAGGGACAAATATTGCGTAACAGAAGTCTCGTGTCGAACAAAAATCGAGTTTTCGATCGATCACTTTCTTTTAATTTATCGAGACACTCGAAAAGTCTCCAAAATTGACGTTCGACGTTGGAGCAATATATCGATAAGCGGAGTATCTATCCGACTTTTTAAAATATCCTTCTCTTGCGAGGAAAAGAAATACATTAATTAGAAGTTATACGAATACGCTACAATTGTAAGAATTGTAAAAATTGATAAACTGTCAGCATGTATTTGGCAATGGGCGTTATTACATACGGCAGTATTTTTATTATCCAAAGCATATAATGGCAAAATAATAATAAATTGGTGATGTAAGATAACATTCCAATGGACCGTTTATCTTATTGATGGTCACGGGTGACCACCGTGGCGTCTTGGTAACAGTTGATAGCGACATACTATAACAAGGCTTCGTTTATTTCAACAAATAATTCGCATTCGTTGTTTCGTCGTAAGAAAAACGTCCAGAATACATTGTTGGCACGTGTAGAAGATATTAGTGAACGGTATTTGCTCATTCGATATGTAATAGTAAGGTATGTGCACACTTCTAACTTCAATTATATGATTATAAAGCAGCATTTACGATTATTTTCTAAGCTGTGTTTATAATATTTAATATTCGTAGATTACCCCTCAAAGATATAGATGCAAACACAGTGCATCGTTAGATGCAAGATTTGTTCTCATTCTTTTGTTTATTGATGTTCTAATAAAACTGCTTAATTGTTCAGTGGGGCATTTTTTATTTCAAAGTATATTCTATTTATCGGTTATATTCAAAATGCCCTAATTGTCAATTTTCATATAATTTTTACAATCGTAAAAGGTTCAAGCGCTCCAACGTGGCAGTCAAGGTGTTAATGGATATCTCCTCATAGGAGTCGACAAGTTTTATGATAAATGAACGGTAAATTGATTGTTACGTTTATAAGTAACGTTGCGAAGATATCATTACGGAACGATATTACTGGACCAAATTCGCAAGATGTGACGTTTCATTCAGCCTCTAAAGATTAAGGGATATTTTATCACGTTGAATTAAGACGAACATCCCGTGAATCAGCTGCCGTCCAAAATTGTCTCTCGGGAGAGAAACGTCATCCTCGCCATTGTTTTAGCTGAGATTGTTCAGATCACGTACTTCTCGAATGATTCTATTATAATTATTCTCATGGAAATCAAAGTACGTTAACGATCTCGTACTTCGAACCCATTATCGTGCTATTGTTAGCGTATGTAACATCTAATCTCGATCGATAGATGCTATCCAGCGTGAAAAAATAACAATTTTCAAGATCCACTCGAAAGTAGAATCTTTATATCGGTCCCCACTTATTTGTCTTTATTCCTTCCTTGTGGTTTTTTCTTCTTTTCTTCTTTATTTTATACCAGTTCGTAAACTTGTCGCATTCCGTTCCACTTATCACCTAATCTACGCCCCGTTACGTAATGGCTGTTTCGTAATATCGTAATCGAGATACAACACGAAATAATTCGGCTGGCAAACAATACGTTCGCCACCAACAGGAACGTGCTCGAATCGTCTCGCGACATGAAATCAGATATAATTTTAAGTTAGCACCGAATGACTGAAAGTTGGATATTTGTCAACGCGAGAGTCACGTGTTTTTTCCTGCAGCATGACCTTTTTTCGTAGTTTTCTTGTTTGAGATGAATCCACAGAAGGAAGTTCGAGTAGCGATCAACCATCGTCGATGTATTCTAATTTTAGGAAAGAAGAATGAAGCTCGCGACATAAACTGCAAGATTTCCAGGTCGTGATCATTCCACTTCCACCTTTAAAGTGACTAATATCGAATTCTTCTGACTATTCGAACGACAAAGTGGATCAGTCGCTTGGTCGTTTCTTCGTCATTTCGATGCATCGCCTCCTTTGTTTCTATTTCAGGACCAATTTTGGGATTTACCGGTAGCTTCGTTTTCCAAATATCGACGCGTATCTAGTGCAATGTACGAAAAGGAAAATTTAGAATGTGACCTAGGTGGGGAAGTGTTGAATCATGGAAAAACAATTGGGCACGTGTTAAACCCAAAAGTTCCGATGAACGACATACCACGATAGACAAAGATAGGCGATACAGCTGTGAACGAAGGTATTTGAACAGAATTTTCGTATTTTCTTTATCGTCGTCGTAGAATAAATTAAAGAAACTTTCTCCATTTCGAAATACCCTGCAATTTCTTGCTCTATTTCCACGTTGGTAAATATCTTTCGCCATCGGGAGAAATATAGAAAAAGATATCTAGAAAATAGCTTTTTGTGAATCATCTTCGCGTCTTTCCTATTTTCCTTCTTATCACCCATAAATCGTGCGCTTATCAGCACCCATTGACCCGTTCGGCCGTAGCCTCGATTATGTCATCGACACGAGAAGATAAAAACGATGTGGGGCACGAAACAAACCACTGTGACCCAGATTCGACAATCTTAGGACGTTCGATAAGAGCGGAGCCTCGGTCCCTGGCAGCGAAACACTTTGGGAACAGAACGTATTACCCTGAATCTGCGTGATCGACACTCGATTCCATTCCATCGTGGTTTCTATAATTAAGACACGGCGTGAGTGAAAGCAGAGACTGAAATCTCGCGAGGAAATCCAGTTGTCGTCTGTTCGTTTTCGCGGGGGATATACACTTTTCCCTCGTTTCGACTTTCTGGCTCGCTTCGTTTCTCGCGACTGATGGAAAATGCGGCCCAATTAGCGCCGTGATTGTTATCGTCGTCTCTGAGATTTAGTTTCAATGATTTCGACTCGGGGACCCCTGGGACTTTGCTATAGAATGTCTGTCACAGAGAAATTGAAGCGTGATCGAGTTTTAAATTGAAAAAGAGTATAGATACTTCTCGCTAGGGAAGGTATCGTTTTACGAATTGGAATTGTTGGGCGGTCTCTTTTGGAACGTGCCTGAAACTCTAAATACGAATTTTGTCAGATATTATGATATTTAACATTAAAATCAAGTTGAATAACAAATGGTAGGCTTAGAATTACCGTGGCACCAATGCATTGCCGTTTCTCATGAAATGCGGTGTTTCGTATTTGTGACTATAAAAAGATCGATATATTTTTTGAGATTATAAGAGAATCTCTCGACAGAAAATGAAATTGTAACTTCATCGACTGTGAAACTAAACGGACGACGTTTCTAAGAATTTTAAACGACGTTCAATTCAAATTCTTAAAATATGTATAAACGAATTAATTGTACGAATTGTCAATTGACTGAGTGAATGATCAATTATACGAATTAAGGAGAAAGGGAGGAAGGATACTTATATGAAGTAAAGAAGAAAGGAAAGAAGGAAAGATCGAAAAAGGAAGAAGACGGCTGATCGATTGGACGGAGGTGTTTGCGTTCACCGCAGGAGAAAGTGGCGATCCGATACCGCGTCGCGACGCGGTAAGGCAGGGAGAGTAGCCAAGAACTTCTAACTTTACCCGAGCCCCCGACTCTCTTCTCGACCTCGAATCGGATGTCGTGGTTCAATGTCCCATCGTGGCGGAAGAAAAGAAACAGGAACGGACACACTCGTGGAATCGATACTGCCCGAAGAAACGGAGCTCCTGGTTTATTCTCGAACTCGTACCTCTGTTACGAATCGTATTTTGTTCCGCATCTGGTTTCGCGTTTTCTTTCGTGGTCGAAGAATATTAAATCGATGGGATTTTACCGGGATCCATCGTGTCACGGTCATTTAGAAAGTTTCCTTAAATGAGTTTAGATTGCATTGTTTTTTCCAACTTTGAGTTTAATCGCGTCAAAGATGGATTTTTATCTTTACGCTTATCGTTTTATTCGTTTTTCCAGCAACTATTAAAACTGAAGGAAGGATATTTTCTTTATCCATCGGGTGTATGTATACCTGACATAAGTATTTAAAGGCTTGCAGAAACTTTTTACGAATATATTATTATTTTTGTTTAGTCCGTGTCTCTCGGCTTTGGACGAACTTTCGGTTTTACATCCAATTCTATCGCATTACCTTGCTTATTCTACCTCTAAAAATTAAGCATTAGGAACTATAAATTATCTCTAAAAACTAAACATTAGGAACTATAAATTATCAACACTAATGACTAAAAACTACTGCCACTTTGGTCCTTAGCCTCCTTGTTTACTTTGGTCTTTAACCTCCTTGTTATGCCTCCTCCTTGTCGTTTGCCCTTCTCTTCTCTATTATTGCTTTCAGTTCTGCTAAACCTTCTCCAGTCTCGTTCAGCGTTTTTCCTATGTCTTTTGGTCCTCCCGTTATTTCACATTCTTCTATTACGTGTCTTAGGTCTTCTTCTTTCCTTCTGCATAGTCTGCATTTTTCCCCCCTCTTCTTTCCAGTCTCGTTTCCGCATCTGAATCTTGCTAGTATTCTTCTGTTCTTCCACTTCATCCTCCCTTCTAAGTATTTTGGTAATTTCTCTTTGGCTATGTTTCTGTAGCGTATGTTGTACTTGGATTCTCTTATCCTTTCCCCCCTCTCTTCTGTTTCTCTCTTTCTTCTTTCTTCTATAATTTGGTCTGCTGTCATCCTTTCTTGCTCCTCTCTTGTTTCTATCTGCGTCCCTCCTTTTCTTATCTCTTCTAGTCTCTTCTTTCTCTTTTTTGCTTTTTTCCCTTCCTGACTATTTCCCCATTCTCTCTCTCTCTTTCCTTTATACACTCCTTTACTAATTCCTTCTTTGATTCTAGGGCTTTCTCTTCGTACCTCGCTGCTCTTTTTAGTGCTTTTTCTTTCATTTCTATTAATTTACATTCCTCTACCAGTATGTAGTTTGGTGTTGTCATATCTAAGCCTAGTATTCGTTTCACATATCTGCTTTGAACTCTGTCCAGTCTTTCTTCCATGTTCCATCCCCATACCTCTGCTCCAAACAGCGCCACGCTCTCTACCAGTGCTCCAAACATCTTCATTCTCCTTTTGTAGTCCTGTTTGAATATTCTTTCTCCCACGCTCCATGTTTCCTTCATTGCAATTGTCGCTCTCTTTTTCCTATCTTGTATGTGCTTCTCATCACTTCCGTTTTCCTGCAGTATATACCCTAGGTATCTTATCTCGTCCACCTCTTTTAATTCTTGCTCTCCCCGCTTCCATTTTCTTTGCCTCTTTTTGTTCCTTCTTTTTTCAAAGACTACTATTTTAGTCTTTTCCGTGCTCAGCTCCAAATCGGCTTCCTTCAAGAATTTTTTGAGTCTCCTCAACATCTCCTTTAGCTCTTCTTCTCTATCCGCCACCATCACAATATCGTCTGCGTATGTCAATGCTTTTTACGAATATATTATGCATGTTATAGGAAACATTTTGAAGTTTCATTAGCACCGTAACGAAGCGCTGTGAAGCGAAGAACTTTTACAGAAGTCGAAAACTTTAGAACGATGTTAGGTCATAATTCCTTTCCCTTAGAATAAAAATGATTAGAGCATCGGTAAACGTAGTTTAATGCGAACGACGGGGACGCTTCGATCACGAAGCAGTGGAACGAAATGACGGCTGCTCGTTCGGTCAATTAAGCATCGCTGTACGGTGTACCGATAAATAAATTAGAAGTCGGATGGATGAGAACCGAAAAGACTTTCCCCGTCCCGACCTAATAAAGTCTCTCTCTCTCGATCCTTTGCGACGTAGCCAGCGCGGTAGGTATGTTAAGCCAAAGGGTTAAACCGTCCCATTTCACGCCGCGAGGCGTTTTTTCTCCCAATCATGAACGCTCGAAGAGGCGATAAAGGAGTTATTTGCATCTAAAATAAAAAAAGGAAGAACCAAAGGATGGAGGGAGCGAGACGAAGAGAGAGAGAGAGAGAGAGAGAGAAGCGAGAAAGTATGTCGTATCCGGTGCAACGGGAGTCGAGATATGAGGAAAAAAAGTGGTCAAGGGCGAATGTGCAGAACCGTTACATCATCGAGGACGACGCTGACGATAATCGAAAGGTGGCTTCCTCGCGGTGGAAGAAAGAAAATACGCTCCTACACAGTTGACACGGGAGAACAAACGGAGAGATTATGTCGTGCGATTCTCCTGGGGTTTGTGTTCGGATCACAATTGTGATACAGGATGAGTCCATCGATGAATAAGTTTATTTATCTCACGATCGTTATCACGTTTGTCATTTTCGGTGTTGAATATGTCAAACGATTTGATACGGAATAAGATTACGATATTGATAATGCATGAGGTTAAAATTAATACAACTATGAAATTATGAAGAAACTATGGATTAGAAAATCTCTTCGGCCAATAATCTTAGTTTGATTATTCTGCGTGCAATTTGACGTTGAATTTTATGACTCGAATGACGTATGGATGACTCGAATAACGCTATTTTACCATATCATGCTCTTTTCTATGATCTTCGAACGATACCAACTCTCGAGAACGACGTAAACTAAAGTTTGTTGCAAAGGCTACATAAGGAATCGAGCAACGATTGCGATTGACGACATTCGCTGCAAATGCCATAGGAAGAGAGTAGGGCAGAGCAGAGACGGTTCTGTCCGTATTTCGATCGCTCGCTTCTCCGTTTCGCCGCTCTAATCTGCCGTTTAGTCGATAATGTACGACGCGCGAGTTTCATAACTCGATTAAGTAACGCGCCTATCGCGAAGCGAGAAAATAATGCCAAGGCTCCCTAGCTGTATCGCCATCACGATACCGAAGCAGATAACGGCGTCGCATAGTTATTAAAATCAATCTTGGCGCGGTGGCCCGCGAGGAAAAAACGAGAGTGACTTGGCTCTCCGATCCCGGTTTTTCTGCGATTTTTTCTGTCTCAGAGATTTCCGCTTCTAACTATAACGAGCACACCTTGTTCGCTCGATTGTGTTAGGAATTACGTAAAGTTGTTGCGATTACATTGGCAAACTTCTTTGGATTCGCTTTATCGCGCGATTTTATCGCTTGAGTTGCTTCGAATTTATTAATCAAAATTACGAGGTCTATGGTTACGTTTTTCGCGACTTCCTCATTTCGCATTAGATTCATCCGCATTTTCTCCGACGGCGTAACAGCTCCTGCTCGTAGCCACACGACTTCTAATACAGTGAAAATCCAAAATTTTGATAAAAACCTCAGACAAGCGTAGTCTTATTGTACTTCGTTGCTGACAAGTAGTTCTGGACATGCACAGCATGACTACAGTGGGTTGGTTGAGCCTGTTGTGAGCATGTTTGTTAGAGCTGCGTGTTAGGTACGGGCACGTAAATATCTCTCGATGTCTGTACTTCGTTCCTGACACCATCTAATACACGCGTTATTTTAAATCAAAATAAATTAACTTTCACAACGTGACCAAAATTTCTCGCTTCAAAATACACCTCTACCTTTCCAATTTCATTGAAATGTTCGTCTCTGTTGCGGAATCTCCGATGGTCGGATCGGCGGATCCTCTTTGGTTTCGGCGTGGTCGCGTGACATAATTTTGGAATAAAAGACAGTGGTCGGGCGGGTATAACTTGCGGGCGAGAGGATCGGGACGTGCAGCGGGGTGTCATTTTGTGGGTCACGCCGATGACGTGTACGTGCGGCCGGTGTGTAACGGGACAATTTGTGCGCTGGCGGCACGCTCACGGGTGGGTGTCGCTCGGGGTGGGGACGAAACCAGGGTAATGTAGGTCAGTAAATGTATAGCCACCACTTTCTCCGGACCGTTCGAAAACTGGCTCCGCGACGTTCCTCCCCCTCCCACTAACCCCCTTTTCTCTCCAACTCCACCTCATCCTACCATTCGTTGCGCGCCGTTCGTTCATTCGTTCATCCTCTCGCGGTACCGTGCGCCTCTCTCGCTGTTGGTTCCTCCACGATAGATGTAACGGGACTGCCTCGAAACGGGTTCCGCGCCGTTT